GGAGGGAGGGAGGGAGGGGGAGGAGGGAGACCAGCAGCTTTCTGTGAAACCGCTCCACTAGACTCTGAAAATGCTGTGGGAACCACGTTTAGACGTGGCAGATAATGAGAGCTTATTCACGCTGCTGCTTAGCAGGCTTTTTATTTCTGCCTTTTGCTCTGAAACCTTTAAAACGTTAGGCCAGGCACTTTCACCCCCACCATGTATTTCCCCACAGATACAGGAACCACCTGTGGATTAGTGCCTTGGTCTGGGTGCACCTGGTTCCAGGGGATATTTTTGCCCATTTTTCTCACAATCATTTCCATTTCTAATGGAGAGAGAGAGTGAGAAAGAGAGAGTACTTTGTCCTTCAGTTACCACCTTCTTTTCATTCCTTCCCTTAAACAGAACTCTAAATAGCCCTAGCTGTTGCTGTTTCTCTCTTGTTCTCTCTTCAGCTTTCATGCCTGCCTTCCCCACCTATTGAAGTAGCTCAAGGACAACTCTGATTTCCATGCTCTAAAACACAAAGGTTGGTTCTTGTCTTAGTTCAGGCTGCTCAGACTGCCTAGCTCAAACTATGGAAATTCAATTCTCCCACTTCTGGAGGCTGGAAAGTCCAAAACCTAGGTACTGGTGGTTTTGGTGTGTGGCAGAGGCACCCTTTCTGGCCACTTCTGACAGGTGGCTGTCTTCTTGTAGATGCTCATGTTACAGAGAGTGGAAGAAAGCCCCCTTGTGTCTTCTTACAGGGGCACTAATTCCATTCCTAAGGGCTTTCCCCCTCATAATTACATCCCAAAGGCTCTGTCTCCAAATGCCAGTGCATTCGATTTTGAACACAAATATTCCAGCCAAAGCCTTTCTCTTTGGATGGCCAAACTACTAATCTGCCCTCTAAAACCTTTCCCTTCTGTGGCCTTAGCTCAGGCCAAAAGAACAGAATCACTTTTCCCTTTCTTTGCTGGTTTCATACCTTGTTTCTAACTCATCACAAACCCTACCTCTGTCATTTTAAAACCATAATCTGTCATCCCTTGCCACCTTTTTGCTATCATCTAAACAACCAGCATTTCATACCTGAGTTACCCCAGTAACTAACTCCCCATTCTGTCCTTGTCCCTTTACAGTCTATTCTTGGCCAAAATGATCAGGCTGGAGTGCTTGTCACAGAACTGCGGTATTTAAGGACTTGCTTCTTCTCTACCTTTCCCCAAATAGAACTCAAAACCATTAAAATGTCTTAAGATATTTGCTTCCTCATTATCTCTGATCTCATGTGTTCTCCCTCCCTCTGTGCTGGCTATGCTGGCTCCCTGCTCTCCCTGGAACATACCACTCATGCCCTACAGTCTTTGTCTTTTTCTTCTGTCCCTTGAACTTTTATAGCTGTATCTTCCCTTTCTTTAACTTTACTCTGATTAAGTCTTCTCTTTGCCTTCCAAGTTAGTCTACAGCCCTCACTTCCCAAAGCCCTCGTCATCAACAACACAATATATAATACTGCTTCACTTGCACCCTGTCTCTAAAATGTAAGCTTCAAAAAGTTTAAAATGTAGCTCTATTTTATTAAATGATCTACATCAAACACTTAAAGAATCTGGCACATAGGAAGCACTTGATACACTATTGAATTAATGACTCAATATTAACACTCTCCCGCCTCCCCCATAAACTTCTCTAAGGAAAGAAAGAAAATATCTGAGTAATCATGTTCGATGTTTCTATATCCATGTGAATTTCATGTGGCACAAAGAAGGGATTGGCTATTTCTGGATGTGTGAAGGGAGGTGTCATTGAAGTGAGTCTTCATTGGAAAGTAGAGGTCACATCCTACTCCACAACATGTATGAGAAGTTTTGTAATTCACCCTTTGTGTTTTCCCTCCGTGTTTTGGTTTGGCTTTAGTTTTGTTTTTTGGGTTTTTTGTTTTTTTTTTTCCTTACTCTCACTTTCCCTGCTTCCTGAAACTGCATTTTTATAAAAGGTAAGCTTATTACAGCAAAAGGTAATGCTGTTCTCCCACCCGTCAGCTCTGAGAAGATGGTGGGACTTGAGGGACATTCTGGAAGATGGGTTTTGTCAGCCAGTAAAGGAGGATTCAATACTTGTTGGCAATCTTGCATAAGTTGCTCAGTTGCTGAGAGCACACACGTGTCCTCTTATACGGGTTACATAAAGGCATCTGTCTTACCTCTGGCTGCTGACTATCATAAATCTTCATGAGATTAGATATGGAAAGAGCTTATATAAATTCTTCACCTCAGTGCCCACATTCACTGCACAGACACTTCCTCTTTTGCTAGACTAGCATATCTCCCTCAAGCAGTTGCTCCATCCCAACCCCCATCTCCAATTATTACTCTGAAAGCACAGTAGAGTGATCCATCCTTCTACTTCTGATCATATTTTGTCAATCCAGGGATGGGCCCCAGATATCAATGAAAGTCCTTCTTCAGGGGCCTAGTTCATAGATATTAGGACTTAATGATTTCAAACTCAGAGAATATTGTCCACCATACTTCATTGCACAGTTAGAAAAGGCAGAAGCTAATTTGCCACAGACAGAATAAATCAGGCTCCTAGAGATAAGTAAAGGTTAAAGACACAGAGTCCTGTGGGCTTGGAGCTCCAAGTCCCACAGGGTATGTGGGTGCTAACTACATTCTCATCTCTTAAGTTCCAAGAAGCAGTATGTCTTCATGGAAAATTTCCCCTTTTGGTTGGGTTGCTGTTGAGAGCACATGTTGAACACTCAGGGAAGGTTAGTCGTAGGTGAGACATGGCACCTTCCTGAGAAATCTATTTATACCTATGGAGGAAGGACTTTGAACGATTCCCCTAGGAAACCAAAATACAATAGATACCTCAGACAAATATATAGCTTAATGAAAAAATGAATGGTTGGTTGATAAACAGAAGAGACAAGGAGAAACATAGTAAGATTTGAAAAGGCATGAGCAGTGGTAAAAAGTTAGAAAAACCTGGTAAGAGAAAGAAATAAATCATTGCTGATATACCCGATTACAAATAACTTTTAGTATGACCCATGTGAATCTAGTGAGGCTGCATTTTATCTATGATTATAGCATAGAATCTGTGCTGTTGTGTACTATCAGGCCCTGCTATAACACATGCATGCACAGCTAAAAGTATACATTCAATTTAAACACTCAGTTCATTGAATTTTAAAGATTTATTTCTAAATTATGTGTATATGGGGTGCAAGGTATGTACAAGTTGAGTGCAGGTGCCTTTGGTTGCTAGAAAAGCATGCAGATTTTCTGGAGCTGGAGTTACAAGTGGTTGTGAGCTGTCTGACATGGGTGTGGGGAACCAAACTGAAGTTCTCTGCAAAAGCAGCAAGCAATCTAAATTACTTAGCCACTAAAAGAACTGTTTTTCAGTGGGAATAATATGGAAATATTACAAAATTTTATTTGTGCAGACATTCCTTATGAACACAAAACTTTCTTGCTGTGATTGGCCATAAGCCTATACTTTTTTTTTTTTCCCAGTTGCCCATTTACGGGGTTTTCATTCATGTTGTAGATAGAATGGGCCCTGGTAAGTGATTTCAGCAACAAGTAGGCAGGGTTAATCCCCATAGTATGTATAATATGAAGATGCAAGAAACTCCGCATCACCCACAATCTTAAGAAAAGAAATGA